AGACGAATGTGATACAAAGTACAAAGATGGAATAGATCCAGGGAAGGTAGCCATTACAAAGGGAGGCAACCTCAGGTGTAGACAGGTGTATCATGGGACGATCAAAAGATGGGACCATTGGAAAGGGGATGCTCTTGGGGTGAGTACTGTAAATCATTTTTTTGTGAGAACTTTATTTTTTTCCCTAATTACACATGAGAATTTGCTTGCAAAAGTACTATTCTTGCACATATAAATATTACTCGAGATTGTATAGATCAATAACAACAATTTTTGAAAATTTTGTCTTACCAATCTCACTAGAATAAGGTACATGTATTGCAAAAATTTAGTATAAGTATAATGGTTTTACGTATAGACCACTTTATTATTGTTTAAAGAGTTCTGAATCAGTGACAATTTTCTACTGAACTTCACTTGCAAGAAATTTAGCATGAGCAAAGTCAACCATTTATTTTTTTTTTCAGAAGCTAACAGATTTTGTAAAAGAATGTCTTAGAGTAGCAGACTTAAACCAGATGAGCTCTATTGCCTTCCCAGCCCTAGGTACAGGCAGACTGGGCTATCCTCCAGAACTAGCTGCCAAGACAATGTTCAGATGTTGTAGAGAATTCCACAGTAGAAATAGAGACACCAGTCTAAAGGAAATATTATTTGTGATTTTCTACAAAGACGCAGACATTCTTGAGGTAAACAAAAATTTTTACAACATCTTCAACATCCAAGTGTTTGTAATGACTTAAAGTACCAGTATTTCCGTTTTACAACAGGATTGATTAAAACATATTATTTACATGTATGTTAGCATGAAATTTAATTGATTAATTGATTTTGAATCAGGCATTCAAAAAAGAAAGTGAAAGTGGGGGTGCAGAGACAGGACGTCCTGAATACAACAGACACAGGAGAGAGAGAATACCATCCTCAGGTGATATATAATGAGTCAAAAAGATTATAATTAAGAACTGGTTTATGTAATGAAGAAAGTCTCAATGGAAAACAATTAAATGAAGAATCGTGTTTACTTAATTAGATACAGCGAGTGGTGATGGAAGGAGGAAAATAAATAAACTGAACGTAGAGGTCAGACAAGGGGACATAACTAAGGAGAGAACTGACGCCATTGTCAACAGTATAACGGGAAGTCTGGATTTAACTAAAGGTATGTGAATTATCTATGTTTGAGTCAGACTCATTTCATAAAAACTCTTTGTAGATTCTTTATGTATATGAGGATATAATTATTTTGTTATTTCATGAGAAGCACCACTGGCAAAATAAAGTATCTTATAGGTTTATTTTTTCTGAATTCAGTGTAAAATCTCTAGATTAACCATACATTTGTCAATTATTGTTTTCACAATTTGACATCTAAAACCCATTTCATGATATTAAATACTAATGTGAAATAAGTAATAAACAGTATAGCAAAGTGAAAACCAGAAAGCTCCCACCCTATCTGTTTCGAGATGATTGTATAATTATGTCTCTGAGTATTTTGTAGGTGCTGCCTCTAAAGCCATTCTAAATGCAGCTGGAGACAGAATACTGACTGAATGTAACAGGGGAGGTATGTATAAAGCATAAGCCACACTATTATTTATACTTTCAAGAAATATTTTTGAAGTCTTCAGGGTCAAGAAAAACAACAAAGAAAAGTGATTATAAAATAAGTGACATCTCTCAAAATAACCTATAAACAATGCAAATCAGTGAACAGTGCATTAAACATGACATCTGAAAAGTTCAGAGATAGGATCGGGTGCCTTGGAGAAGCAAGCATCTTCTGTCTACTGGTTTGTACAAGTCTTAAGCTGTATGCACTGACATGTAGACTGAATAATCTATTATCAAATGCAGTATTAAAAAAAAGGTTTTATAGATTAGATTGCTTTGAAAAGTTTAGAATTCTTGGTACTTTCTTTGTCTCTTAATTGTGAGAGATATAGGCTGTAACCTTCCTCCCCCCCTCTCCAAAAAAAAAATAAATAAATTAACAGAAGATATCTGGTTAAGTGTTACCATATTGTCATTTTGTTTTGCAAAATTTATCCTTAGCACAAAAGTTTATTTTCTATCATGTTTAAAGCAACATTTTTTTTATACATTGGGCAAGATTATATATATAGTTATAATTTAAGTTGAGTACTAAGTGTACCATAGATAAACAGGAATGGGGTGTTTTGTGTTGTAGCCCAGTCTTTCTCATCAGAAGGCTATGTTGTTACATCAGGAGGGAGGATGGCTTGTAAGTACATCATTCATGTGAAGGCTCAAAGATCAGCTGAGGAATGGGAGCGAATGGTGGCCAAGGCACTGGCTCATGCTGATAAGACAGGGTGTAGGTCCATATCCTTCCCAGCCCTAGGAACAGGTGAGAGAAAAATTTTTTTGTAGAATTTATAAAAGATCAAGCAATAGACACTCATTTTTGTATTGTCAAAAGAGACCAGTTGGTGATTTTCAGCCAGGTTGTATCTCAATATGTAGAGCACCTGACTTGAGATTTAGTGGGTCCAGGTTTTAAATTTTCATCTTGTCCATCACTTTTTTCTCCTCTCCCTTTACAACTACATTAAGATGCTACTGTATCACTACTGTGACAACGCACTGTAGCCTATATATTTCTTTATTTCTTTCAGGAGTGAGAAACAGTGATCCTGCAGATATTGCCAAACACATGTTTAAAGCCATGAGGAAGTTTTCACCGGAGAATCTGGAGACAGTGCGGGTGATTGTATTCCAGAGAGACATGGTGTCAGTATTCCAGTCCTCTCTGGATAACCTACCCCAAGGGCGTTTCACACAGTTGAAGGATTTTGTCACTGAAAAAATCAAAGGTATCACAAGATTTTAAGACAATGTTATCGGAAAAAGATTGTATAAAAATAATTAAACAAAGCAAAAGGTAAAAGATACTTTTTAGAGAAACATTATGAAAATGTTATTCTGTGTAATTAGAAATGCTTATTTTTATAGCAAGAAGTACAGTGAAACTGTCTAAATTGACACATGTGCAATCCATTTCTCTGTGAATTCTGACCTTTATTTTCATTTTAATTATACTATTTTCCATGCTTTTTGTTTATACTGTTTAATCTGACACTCTTACCTAAAACATGTTAACCAGAGCATGTCATATTAGACAGGTTATGCTGTTTTTTTAATAATATACATGATTGTATATGATTATAGAAACGGCTTAGGCAATAAGTATATCATTTTTTGAATAACTGGTATCAATTTTTTTTAAAGATGTCATTGGGTCAGATGAGGAAGAAGATGATAATAATACAAGCAGACCATGGCGTGGACATAACAATCATGGCCATGGATATAGAGGTCAAGGACATGGTCAAGGTCACAATGATGAAAGGATAACTTTCCTGATTCTCTCTAACTCTAAAGAAAACATCAATAAAGCCAAAATTAACTTGGAAAGAATACTTAAGAGTGAATTTGAAAGGAAAGAAATTGATGTGTCAAAATACACATTTAGTAATAGCCAGGTAAGGGCAGATAATCAGTAAAACAATATGCTACTTGTCTTAATATATGTGTTAACATGTCTTCTATGCAAATTTATTATAACAACACTTAAAAGAACAAAATCAAAGCTTTTGAATTTTACAAAATATTAATGTTTGAGAAAATGATCGTGCAATTATAGTTTGGAGTCAAATATGTTTTAAGAATTGCATGAATTCAACATTATTATATAATATTCACATCCACCGAATATTTTCTCCTTTATTTCTTAAGAAAACCCATTGCGTTAATCACTGCATGAACTACATTAGGCATGTCACCTGTACAGATTTATTGATCAGTGGCTGTTCCATCAATGAAACATATAAAGACGTATCATTGATACATTAATTAAACTTTTGAATCCTTCTTTAAATGATTATTTAAACAGATATAAATATAAACAATAAAATGTCTTTCTTTGTTTGTTATTACTGGAAAACGGTCGGAGTTATAATTGCAGAAAAAATTTACATAACCCGCTTATGCGGGTTATGTATTTTTTCTGCAACAGCTGCTTCCATTAATTCCAGTAATAACAAACAAAGAAAGCATTTTATTGTTTAAGTGAATAGTCTTGAATGAAAGTAAAACTTAGCAATACTGAATGTATTGGTAGAGGAAATTGCCAAAAGTATCTCAGAAGAGGAGTTGTTTTAAATTATTAAACCAGAAGAATTGTTTTGTAGATTGACGAAATTAAAAGACTCGCAAAAGACACTAAAATCATAGTCAAAGAAGGAAAAATTGAACTGCAGGGAACAACAGCAAATGTAAATGAAGCAGCTGTAGCTATTTATCAATATCTACATGAGGTTAAGGACAAAGAGAGTGCTAAAACAGTCCAGAAATATGTCAAATGGCAGTACGAATCCGCACCTGATAAATGGTACACATTTAGGGACGACGTCAATTTACAGATAGAGAATGCGCATCAGGCCAGAAAGGATTCCTGTACCGTTAAAGACAACACTGGAACTGAATATGTTATTGACTTTAAAAAGATGGAGGAGCATGAGAAAAACAATTCTAGGAAGAAGTACAAGATCAAACGAGTAGATAAGGGTAAGTTTGAAGAGTACTGTAAATTTACTTGTAGTAATATTGCAGTAAGTGAGCAACTTTTGTGCAATTTTGTGCTACTTCCTGTCTGCTAATTTAAGCACATGCTAAATAAATATATTGATTGATATAAATGCATGTACATATAGGAGCTTTTCTCCAAATCCACTTATATGCATGAATATTTACATTTCCAACTGCTTTTTCTTTGGTTAATTTGTTGATGTACATGTGTTTACAACTGAATGTAAATTTTACTAAGTGAAAGATCAAATACCTGCATGTCAATTACTTTGGCTGTAATTGTGTCTGAAATCACTTAATTTTTAAATTAAATTGGAATAAAAACAAGAAGACATATGAAATTATTTGTTCAAAGGCAACATTGACAAAACAGCTATTGTATCGTGGTTATAGTACAGGCAATATTCTAGTTGTACATGTAATTGTATACAGATGATTTTTAAAACCCTATATAATTAACCATCTTATATGACTTTTAGAAAGAGTGAATTATGAATAGTAAATTACTAAACATTGATGAAATACACATACATGTACTTTGATGGATTTATTGATTAAATTTATAATATTAAGGTGCTTCCTCTGTTGGACTGCCAGCCAAATGGGTTCCTATGAAGAATCACCAGACTATGGTTGAGATCACCTTAAAACCTGGGGACAACGAGTACCAGCTAGTCATGTCAAAGTTCAAGGCCTCTAGTCAAGGAGCTGTCTCAGTGTCTGAGGTAAGACATCTATAACACTGTATAAGTTGAATTTTTAGGGAGGATTTAATTTTGGCATTATAAGGGTTGTTGCTGAGATAGCCAAAATTGGATATCACTGAAAATTAACTGCAATTTATTTGTAATAGCTTCTTAAGTGATCATATTAAAAAAAAATCGCTAAAATTACATCTTGCTAAAAATGAAATACCAATTTTAAGGAGAAATTGCTAAATTTATATCTTGCTAAAATTTCCACTCTGTCTACAAAAATGAGGAGAAAATATACATCACCTCCATTTCCTCTTATCATTAAATATAAAGCTATTTGAGTGTTGGCTAGGTGAAGTAAAGTAGAACAAGAGGCCCATGGGCCTTATAGGTCACCTGAGCATTATGCAACAACTTTCCAGTGATTGAATTTGATTCATGTTTTAATCCAGATGCTATGGCATTCACAATTTTGAAATAGGCACCATTGATCATCATAACAATACACTTAGCAGTTGCTAAGTTTGTTTACTTAATACCCATAGGCAGGGTAGGGGAACAAAAAATGCATTTCAAGTAATCAGTAATATTCAGCATGATCAGTAATGCCCCAATCACACATGAACCCCTGACCCTTAGGCCTAGATCCACACATTGCACAATTTTTGAAAAGGCACCCTTGCTTTTCAAAAATATTTGATAAATACCAAGGAGCAGATTTCAAACAATTCATCCAGTTTCAGTATATAAGTACAGTCCCCCCCCTCCTTTATGGTACCCCTGACCCTGGGGCCTTGAAATTCATAATTCTGAAAGATTAGGACCCTTGCTCATCATAACTACATAGGTACTGTAGTTCATCTGCTTAATACCAAGGAGCAGAGAAGAAAACTTTCAAAGATTTAGTGTATTTTCACTGTATAATCAATAGAGCCCCACCCTATCACTGGAACCCCTGACCCTGGGGCCATAGAATTCACAATTTTGGTAGAGGCACTCTTGCTCAACATAACTATGCACTTATTTAGTTTATTTATTACCCAGGAGCAGAGAAGAAGATTTTCAAAGAATTCATGTATTTTCACTATATAATCTATAGACCCCCCCCCTTACACCAGAACCCCTGACCCTGGGGCCATCGAATTCACAATTTTGGTAGAGGCACTCTTGCTCATCATAACTATGCACTTATTTAGTTTATTTAATACCCAGGAGCAGAGAAGAAGATTTTCAAAGAATTCATGTATTTTCACTATATAATCTATAGAGCCCCACCCTGACACTAGAACCCCCGAACCTGGGGCCATCGAATTCACAATTTTGGTAGAGGCACTCTTGCTCATCATAACTATGCACTTAGTTAGTTAATTCAATACCCAGGAGCAGAGAAGAAGATTTTCAAAGAATCCATGTATTTTCACTATATAATCTATAGAGCCCCCCTCCCCCTTACATTTGTACCTTACACAAGAACCCCTGATCCTGGGGCCATAAAATTCACAATTTTGGTAGAGGCACTCTTGCTCATCATAACTATGCACTTATTTAGTTTATTTAATACCCAGGAACAGAGAAGAAGATTTTCAATGAATTTATGTATTTTCACAATATAATCTATAGAGCCCCCCCCCCCTTACACCAGAACCCCTGACCCTGGGGCCATAAAATTCACAATTTTGGTAGAGGCACTCTTGCTCATCATAACTATGCACTTAGTTAGTTTATTTAACACCCAGGAGCAGAGAAGAAGATTTTCAAAGAATTCATGAAATTTCACTATATAATCTATAGAGCCCCACCCTAACACCAGAACCCCTGACCCTGGGCCATAAAATTCACAATTTTGGTAGAGGCACTCTTGCTCATCATAACTATGCACTTAGTTTATTTAATACCCAGGAGCAGAGAAGAAGATTTTCAAAGAATTCATGAAATTTCACTATATAATCTATAGAGCCCCACCCTAACACCAGAACCCCTGACCCTGGGCCATAAAATTCACAATTTTGGTAGAGGCACTCTTGCTCATCATAACTATGCACTTAGTTTATTTAATACCCAGGAGCAGAGAAGAAGATTTTCAAAGAATTCATGAAATTTCACTATATAATCTATAGAGCCCCACCATAACACCAGAACCCCTGACCCTGGGCCATAAAATTCACAATTTTGGTAGAGGCACTCTTGCTCATCATAACTATGCACTTAGTTAGTTTATTTAATACCCAGGAGCAGAGAAGAAGATTTTCAAAGAATTCATGAAATTTCACTATATACTTATTTACCCCCACCCTAACACCAGAACCCCTGACCCCGGGGCCATGAATTTCACAATTTTGGTAGAGGACTCAATGCTGATTACAATCATGCAAACAGTTTGACTGCTTGATGTCCAGGAGTAAAGAACAAGATTTTTAAAGATTGCACTAATTTTAGTGGTTTTTGCCCCACCCCTCAGGCCCCAGGGGGGCAGGGCCCATGAAATTCACAATTTTTGTTCCCCTTCACCCATAGATGCTATATGCCAAATTTGGTTGAAATTGGTTCAGTGGTTTCAGAGAAGAAGCTGAAAATGTTCAAATGTTAACACACGATGAACGACGACGGACGAAAAGTGATAGCAATAGGTCACCTGAGTAAACTCAGGTGACCTAAAACTAATCAAAATATTCCTGGCCTGGCAACCATAAACTAAGAATAGAATTAAGTAAAAAAAAATTTTTTTAATATAAGCTTATCGTTTATAAAACATAGTTCATCCAAAATTTGCAGGATTGTATAATATTTCAATTTTAAACATACTGTAAAAATCTTATTTTATCATCAGAATTATTTCAAATGTTATATTGATTTGAAATTTGAATTAAGTCTTTTCTCAGTTTATGGTCTTAGATCCTGAACTTGAAGAGATATCCATTTGGGTTATAATAAACTCCAAGTACTGAATCACACATTTTATTTTTTAGTTTCATAATAAACAAATATGTGTTAAAGCATATTATATAAAATATCATGTGCAAAGAATAGTGTAGTATAAAAAACATAAGCAAATCATATTTCATGGTTTTATATTTTTATCATGAAATAGAAATTATACAGGAAGTTGAAGACTCAGTTATCAGCTTCATACGAGATGTCAGACATTGTAGAGGTTGGATTTCAGTTAATTAAAGAATGATGTCTGGTGCATGTAAATGATTCAAAAATCCTCACATCAGTGATGAAAAAAGGGGATTTTAATAGCGCATTTGATCTCAGAGATTGTGCAAGTCTTGTTCTGATCATTCTCTGTCTATTATCTGTCTTTTGTCCTATACTTATTGTTTTACCAGAATTCTAATAAACTCTTATCAACTGAAAAATGTGCAACACTTTAAAAGGTACATGTACTAAAACCTGTGTACATAAGGGTGACATCAGGCCCTAGGAGCTGGGGTGTGGTGGCTTACAATAATTTTGCTAGTACATGTATATATAGAAGTACAGAGGAAAATTCGTAGATATGTAATTTTAGGTCGTTCCCCCTCAAAGCGTGTGACCTTTTACTTTTTTATTTTCCTAGTCTTAAAAATTTGCTATTAAACAGCGGAGTTTGGAAGAGAAAAATTGAAGCAGTTTTTTCCCCTTTCTGTATATTCATTACAAAACCTTCAAGTTCAACTGATTTACATAAATTTGTATTTTGTTTTTAGCGGGTTTGTATCAAGTATCTGAAGATTATTCAAAAGATACTAATTTAAAATGTATTTTTCATTTTAGAATAGGTTAAGCAGATTGAGTGTAGATAAATACATGTAGGTGCTTGTAGGTGCTTGGGGATTAAACAAATCCTTATAAGTTTGCATGAAGTAAATTCAATTCTATACCCTATTCTTCTTAAAAATTTCACAACTAAGGTAAATGCACATGTTCATTTCGTAGAGATGTGGCTTTAACCACTCCACCAAATACTTGCCCAGCAAGTTTGAATATCATAATTTCATGATATCATAAATGTTACAAAACTTGTGTTAAAATCAATTATTACTTACACTTGATGAGTTGATAAATTACCCTTTGTTTTCACAAGATATCATCTAGCATACCATCAAAAGAAATGAAATAAATGTAAGAAAAATGACAAAAATAAGCGATAAAATGTGTGTGAACATGTGTTATTGAAAAGGAATATGATTTTGTTTGATGCATGCGTAGGAAATGGCATAAGCATTAAAATGGGTTATTATGGGAATAAGGGTTAATCAAATATTACATTTTTCGATTAATCACATTTCCTCAAGGATTTTTTCTTAACCAAAAAATAATTTTCTTGGCATGCATGCATGATCATGATAATAGTGTGTTAATTGCAAAATTAATCACTTAGATACGAAGAGTGCAAAACCCATATCTGTATCAACAATACGCTGCAAAAAGGAAGGAAATTCAAGTGAAGAATAAAAAAGACCCTGAGCAATGGTTGTGGCATGGGACCTACCCAGAAACTGTGGACAAAGTGATTAATAATGGATTTAATCGAAGCTACTGTGGGCGACATGGTATGTATAAATTGTGTTGAGTTATGATCTCATGTTGAAGCTCAGGAGTATTTTACTGACTTGATGAATTGCTAACCTTGAAACCAATAGGGCTTTACAAGTAAAGTAATATATGACTGTTTAAGGACAAGATCAAAAGGTTTAAGTGTATAAAGATACAAGTGTTAGAAAAATTTGACAGCAGTGAATGAATAAAATTTCTCATATGACAATTGAATATGAGAGGTAAAATCCATTCTCAAAATTAATTATATATAGAAGATGCAAGCAAGGTCACAATTTCTATGAATAGAGCAAGATTCGATTTTACAAAGACAGATTTTTTTAAAGTAAAAACAATATTATTAAAGTTATTTCAGTGGAAATGGACGTACGTACATCTCACAGCTCTCATCAAATACTACCAGTACATATCTCGAATATAAAGCTTGTACTAGACACTGGATGCAATAAAATCATCTCCAAGGGGGATGTTTTATGAATACACAATTCAATGAAAATTTTTAGCTCACCTGAGCTGAAGGCTCAAGTGAGCTTTTCTGATCACATTTGTTCCGTCATCCGTCCGTCTGTAAACTTTTCACATTTTCACATTTTCAACTTCTTCTCAAGAACCAATGGGCCAATTTTAACCAAGCTTGGTACAAATGATCCTTGGGTGAAGGGGCGTTTAAATTATAAAAATGAAGGAACAAGTTTACTTACAAGGGGAGATAATCAAGAAAAGGCAAAAATAGGTAGGGGTCATAAAAAAATCTTCTCAAGAACCACTGGGCCAGGAAAGCTTACACTTATGAGACTTATGTACAGACTCTCCTAAATAGCTGCATAGGTTGGTACGAGTTTCCGACAGCTTAACTGACATTTTTCTACAAGTTGTTAAGGAGGAGAGTAATTTTGATTAGCTTAGGGTCTGGATTATAAAAATATTTTAAAACTTATCAATATGATCAAAATCACTGAGCTAAATTGCTATTAAAATGGATTAAAATAATTATTATAGTGCTTAAACAATGTGGAAATCACAAAACAATCACTTAATGTGGAAGCATCCTTCGGTAGTGTAGAAAATGAATTCTTAAAATTATGACCCCTGGGGGTAGGGCGGGGCCACAATAAGGAATTCAAGTTTTACATATATATATTAAGGAAAGTCTTTGAAGAATTGTCTTCTCAAAAACCACTGGGCCAGAAAAGCTGAAACCTATGTGGAAACATCCTAGGGTAGTGTAGATTTTAAAGTATTAAAATCATGAAAGGGGAGGAGGTAGGGGGCACGATTGGTATAGCAAGAGGGGAAATCTGGTAAAGAACTACATCAACCAAGTTACTCAGGTGAGCTATGTGGCCCATGGGCCTCTTGTTTCAAAGGTAATCCCACCTTCACTTACACATAGTTTACACTTTACATGTATGTGCACTTTCAACAAGACAGAATTAATGGTTGAACAATGAATTATAATTTTTTTAATTTACTATTTCTAGGTACGTCATATGGAGCTGGTGTCTACTTTGCAGTGAATGCTTCATACTCCCTCGGTTATTGTAGAGCTGACTCTAACGGACACAAACACATGTTTTCCGTCCAAGTCGCCACTGGTGATGCTTGTCCTGGAAGTAGTAGCATGAATGTACTTCCACCAAAAGGAGGCGCAGGAAGTCATGTGACTTACGATTCCGCCTCTGATAATCCTAGCAATCCTGTGATGTACGTGATATTTCATGACAGTCAAGCTTACCCAGCATATCATATAATCTTCAAATAATTCAGAAGGCTTTACTTTCTAATAGGTATACGGAAAACGCATAAAGTGCATGGATCATTATGACATGTCTAGTGCAATTATCATTGCAGATTTCACTTATTATTAACTATTTTCAATAACATATACTGTAATTGAAATCATAATATATGAAAAATGTCATCAAGTAAAATGAGTTCTTAGAAAAATCACTATGTGCATTTAAAGCCGCTTGGTCCGATTCTAATCGCTAAAAAATATATTCGTTTTTCTTCTTGAAAAATAATTGTCCATAAATTATTTTAACTTTTGTCAAATTATATCCCCAAAGTCTTTTTCTTTTTAAAGATATCAAAATTCAAAAGTTTAAAAAATAATTTTTGTTAGGTCACACAATAAATAATCCTTTGTTGACATTGCGTGAAGTCATCTTCGAAAAATTAAATTTATCGCTTACATGTATAACTCGTGAAGAACAAACCCGAGCATTTTTTCCACAACAAAGTGTACAAAGGCAATATTCTAAACCCCCTTTTTTCCTTTATTCTGTAAATATGCATATTAATATAAAAATTACTATGGATTATATTCAATTAATTCCTTAATTTTTAAAAGATATATCATGACTTGGGATTCTACTAATTGAAAAAAATAATCGGGTTTGAATTCTCTTCATAATTAGATATATCCGATAAAAGTATTTTTTTTCAAAGGTGACTTCAAAACAGATCTTAACTTCCTGTCAGAAACTGCTGTTTGTCAACAAGGTTTTTGGTCTATGTTTTTCATGTAAGGATTGTTGTAATAAACTATTAAATCAATCTTATATTTAATTTTTATATATTATCTATGTAATGACATACTTTTATTGTAAAAGATAAAATGTGCCTGTTTCGGATGAAGCGGCTTTAAGATACTTTTTTTGTAAATGATTGTACCCAGTTCATGTATATGAAATTTACAAGAAAGAAAGACATTTTCATTTAATATCAAAAGGCACTAACAATTAAAAAAAAGTTGAACTGCTGACTTATGGATTATAATCAGTTGCCCATGTTTTAAAACCATTTATTTTTGCTAAAACTTTTAAAATTGAGAAGAGCTTATGAATTGGCCAAATGTCTGTTTTCCATCTGTCCCTAAGCAGTTTTACCCCCAAAATTCTTTTCCTTTCATTAAAATATTTTGACAAATTATTTTATAATTTAAAGAAATGAGAAACAAGAAAATTAAGGAAAAGAGACTTCTGATTCCCTTAGTTCTGATATGATTGCAGTTAAACTTGATTCACTAGACTTGACTATGTGAAGATATAGTATATAAAAAGTAAAGATTATTTTTGCCATGCTTTAAATAAAGAAATCAAATATATTTCGTAAATCCTTCAAATTGCCAAACTTTTTTCAAGTTTTGGTGCCTTTTATTTAAACTTGATGTCATTGAAAAAAAAAACATAGGTCATTACACCTAAAACTCAAAAAAGTTTTAGTCAAGGGGCCATTTTTCTACTTCACTGTGATAAATACAAATTGATAGAGCTACAGTCTCATCAAAGCCTTTGGGAGGGACATCATTCTTCGATTTTAAAAACAATTTTGGCTTGAGCATGTGATATTTTAGTGCAATTTTCTTTCTCTCTATACTAAATAACTGAAAAATACACTTTTTAATACAAGTTTTATGTCAATCAGACCAACTTTAAAATAATGTTTCCTTGCCCTCTCTAAACTCAGGGTGAAAAAAAAATCAGATCGTTAGTGAGAATTTTTTCAAGAAAGTTTTAAATCAAATTCAAATGTTGAATTTTCAAAATCTATTTTCATGAATGCTTTAAAAAATAATTGCATGCCTCCTGAAGGTAAATAAAAAGTTTTGAGTCATGCAATTTCAGCCAATCGGGAGAGAAAACAAACATTTTTTTCCCTAAAAATGGCCTCCTGTATTATTATTTGTTGTAGATTTATTTTTGTTGAAATATGTTGTAGTTTGAAACAAGATGTGTTTGTAAAACACTGATGCCCCCGTATGGCAACATAGCAAAGATTAAGCTTTTATTAAATGCAAATTTAATTCATTGGTACCAAAAGTAGGGTATTCTCACTGGAAAACAATTGTGAAATTTGAAAGTAAGCTAATGTTAAAGGTTTTTAATAAGTACAAAAATCTCCAAGGTCAAGGTCAAAAGGTCAATGTAATTAGTATCAAATGAAAGGTCTTGCCACATAAAATACTTATGTAGAGCATGAAAGCCCTAGCCCTAACCGTTCAGACGTTATGGTTAACGTTCAATTTCTTAAAAAGTAGGTCAAACTCCAAGGTCAAGGTCAAAGTTATTGTTATCAAATGAAAGGTCTTGTCACAAGGATCAAATATGTAAAGTATGAAAGGAACTAGCCCTTAGTCTTTAAAAGTTATGGTCAAATTCGCTTTTTTAAAGTAGGTCAATCTCAAAGGTCAAGGTCAAAGGGTCAAGGATCTTCATATCCAATGAAGGATGTTTTCACAAGGATTACATATATGAAGTATAAAAGCCCTATCTCTTACTGTTCAAAAGTTATGGCCAAGGTTAAAGTTTTTCACAAGTACAAAAATCTACAAGGTCAAGGTCAAAGGGTCAAAGTTGTTGGTATCCAGTGAAAGGTCTTTTAACAAACATTACATATGTGAAGTATAAAAGTCCTGGTATTTACTGTTCAAAAGATATAGCCAAAGTAAAATTTTAAAATTTTTCTTAAAAAGTAGGTCAAACTCCAAGGTCAAGGTCAAAGGGTCAAAGTTATTGTTATCAAATGAAAAGTCTTGTCATAAGAATCAAATATGTAAAGTATGAAAGCACTAGCCCTAACTCTTTTAAAGTTATTGTAAAGGTTTGCTTTTTTAAAGTAGGTCAAGCTCAAAGGTCAAGGTTAAAGGGTCAAGGATCTTCATATCCAATGAAGGGTCTTCTCACAAGGATTACATATATGAAGTATGAAAGCCCTATCCCTTACCGTTCAAAAGTTATGGCCAAGGTTAAAGTTTTTTCACAAGTATTGAAATCTACAAGGTCAAGGTCAAAGGGTCAAAGTTGTTGGTATCCAGTGAAAGGTCTTTTAACAAACATTACATATGTGAAGTATAAATGTCCTGGTGTTTACTGTTCAAAAGATATGGCCAAAATAAAATTTTAAAATTTTCATGTAAAAGTGGGTCAAACTCCAAGGTCAAGGTCAAAAGGTCAGATTCGGTGGTACCCAAAGAAAGGTCTTGTCACAAGGAATACACATGTGAAATGTGAAAGTTATAGCTCCACTAAATCAAAAGTTATGGACAGGGTTAAAGTTTTTGCGGACAAACAGACAAACAGAGAGACAGTCAGAGAGACAGACAGACAGACAGACAGACAGACGGACGGACGGATACGACAAAAACTATATACCCCCGAAACTTCGTTTACGGGGGCATAAAAATAAAATTAATTGAGTCATTTGTTTAGTGTTTATGAACTGACAATTAACTTGTACTAGAAGTACTGTGAGCAATACATGAGCTCACTAAATGATACCCACCACCTACCATATGATTATAATGACAGTGTCCATGTTTTGCAATGTGAAACCCAAAAACTATGTCGGATCAAAAAGTAAAATAGGAGGTATACAATTATGGCAATATGTTATAAAGATTCTGAGGAAGTTTCATCGAATTTCATTCAGAGGTATGAGAGGAGTTGCGGATAACATTTGGGTAACCCAAAGTGTAACAGACGGACGGACAGATATACCGATTACTATATACCCTGCCACTTTTCAAGCGTCTGCCAGAGGAATTTTTTAACCCACGCTTAAAAAGCTGAAGGGCCGGTATATTAATCGGTATGTCTGTGTGTCCGTTACGCTTTGGGTGACCTTTGAATGTAAAAATTACTATACATTGCAAAATGAGAAATTAGTTCTTTACTAGGATGAGAGGATGGATTACATCAGGAAGGAGTTAGAATAATGATGACAAAGAAAGCTAATAAGTCACTGATGGAATGGAAATCCATCAATAAGAGATTGATATATATGTAAGATTCTGTACATCAGATCACTTACCCAAAAATGAGAGCCCTGAAGAGACAAAAGAAAGATTTATGGAACAATTGCAGGAAGTTATTAATAACATTCCAAAGCATGACATACTGCTCATTATTGGAGATTTTAATGCAAAGGTTGGTAGCAACAACAAAGGTAATGAAAGTGCTATGGAAAAAGAGCAAAATGAAAACGGAGAACGACTATTGGATATGTGCGAACTCAACAACTTAGTTATTACAGGAACAATATTTTCTAAACCAAGACACAAAATTTCATGGATCTCACCCGATGGAAAGATCGCTTGAAAACCAAATTTAATATATAATGTGCTTATATCGAAACAACACAGATCTTCTATCTCAGAAACAAGAGTGATGATTGGAGCTGATGCAAGTAGCTTGTGATCATGAACTGATAAGGAGTAAGATCAGAATAAAAATGCAGACACACGCAGAAAAAAGTATGATGTCACAAAACTACACCAACTAGAGAAAAGGATATCATTTACATTGGAACTGAAAAATAAATTCCAAGTGCTAGAAGGATTGGGAATTGTCGAAGACATATGGGAAAATATGATAAAAGGTTACAAGAAAACAGCAGACAGCATAGTTAGAGTAAAAGGGAATAAAGCATTGGATAAGCAGAGACTCTTGGAAGGTGGTAGAACAAAATTCAGCATCTTAAACTCTTACTTGCCGACAGCAGATCAGAAAGGTTAAAAAGAAAAATAAGAAACAAATATTCAATTAAAACGCAATATAAGGAATGACAGGAGAAAGTGGACAGAAGACAAGATGACAGAAGCAGAAAGAGCAGCAAATGATGTTCACATGAAAACAGTGAATGAGATAACTAAAATTATGAGAAGAAAAGCATGACAATTTGCAATAAAGGATAAAAAGGACAAGATCATGAGCAGTCAAGACGAAAGAAAGAATTGGTGGAAAGATCATTTTCAACAAATATAAAACCGCCCACACCCCAACATCCATTAGAAGTTGAAAACATAGAACAAGTTGTAAACGAGATGGATACAAGTCCCATACAGTGAGAGGAATTTGTTAAGACTATAAATTTAAGAAACTAAAGAATGGAAAAGCTAGATGAGTAAATGGGGTAACAGCTGAGATGTTAAAATCAGACATGGAGACAACAGCAGGATATACTCTTCAACAACCTGGAAACACAAAATCATTTCATAGGTTTGAATAAAGACCTGATGGAACAAGCTGGCTTTAGAAGAGGGAGAAATATACTTGAAGAAGGCGTTAATGGTAACCTAACAACGAATTTATATGATAAACGTGATGACTTTAACTTTTCTATCTTCAACTTCCCTTACTTATGCAGCAACATACCTTCATCATCTGCATACGGAGTGTATATACCTCAGTTGATTCGATACGCAAGAGTATGTCCTACGTATAAACAATTTATAAATGGAGGTAAATTATTGACAAGCAAGTTGATGAAACAAGAATATCAGCAGTCTCGTTTAAAGTCATCATTTCGTAAGTTCTATGGTCGATACAATGACCTTGTCAGCAAATACAATTTATCATTGCGTCAAATGCTGACTGACGTTTTTCATACTTATTGTTAGTCCAACATTTATACACTGAATTGACGACAGATTTTTCCGTTTTTTTCACGACCATGACAATGAGCACACGGTGGGTGTGACCAGTCAGCAGGGGATGCTCACTCCTCCATGGTACCTGATCCCACCTCTTATGTTTCGGAGGTCCGTGTTTGCTCTGCTCTTGCTTTGTATTGTTATATGGACTAGCTTTGAGATTGAATACTGTTCGTAAATATCTCCATATTCTTCATACAACAGAACAACTATTTACACTCCATATCATGGATGTACAGATTGGATCTCAACATTGTTTGTTAATTATGTAGACTCTGAAAAGACATTTGATTCCATTCATAGAGAGAGCCTTTGATCTATCTTGAAGTTTCATGGCATCCCAGACAAAATGGTCAGAATGGTGAAACTCCTAGGCCTATATGAATAATTCCAGTGAGCAGTCCTAAAAGATGGGAAATAAACGGACTGGTCCGGGTAATAACAGGAGTGATGCAGGGTTGCACAATGTCTGGATTCGTTGGTTATAGACTTTGTGATGAAAAGAACTACAGAAACAGAACGAACAGGAGTAAGGGGGAATTTAACAACAGGACTCGAATATCTAGATTTCGCAGATGATCTTGCTCTACTTTTCACAAAATTTAGGGGCATCCAGCAAAAGACAGAGACTTGTGCGAGGTCGATATGCTTTCTCTAGGGTCTATTAGAAGGCTCGTAAAATCTAGAGCTCGATCGTCAAAATTTTCCATCCAAACAAAGGTAAAGTAATTTAACAGCTTGGTCCTGTCGGTTCTAATGTATGGAAGTGAAACATGCAAAACAACGGAGCGAGACAATAAGAAAATTGACACCTTTTAGAATAGATGGCTAAGAAAGATCCTGAGAGTAAGCCTGAGAAATGAAGTCCATCATAGAACAAAGAAAGTAAGAGGAAGTGAAAGAAAAACTCTCAGGAAGAAGTGAAATTGGATAGGCCATGTACTGAGGATGGATAACACCAATGTACCACCGCATTGATATGGCATCCAGAATGTAAGAGAAAAGTAGGCCGGCCAAAAACAACTTGGAGAAGGACCATGAAGCAAGAAAGGGTACAACTGGGATGGTAAAGCTAGGCGTCAGCGAGGGCAGCAGGTAACGACAGGGGCAGGTGGAGACAGTGTATTGGGGCCTTACAGTGTATGTGCCAGCGAGCACTAAGAGAATACATGTAGGTGAGGTGAGGTCCTACAAGTGTGGCACTCCTGGTTCCAATTTGGATATTTTACAACGTAAAAAACATGTCAATTGTTACCTAACAACAAAACTTTATGATGAACTTTTTATGATAATTTCAAAGTGTCTATCGTCAACTTTTTTTAAGAAACAATATACCACAATCACCTGTATCTAAAGTGTATGCACAGAAGCCTGTAACATACTGTATTTGATTTTACGTAATCACTATATGTATACAAAAAGAGAAAGGGAAACAACGTCAGCTCGACTTTACACAAGGTCGATCTCGGAAATGACTTTTTTGTATACATATATATATATAGTGATTACGTAAAATGAAAAACAGTATGTTACCGGTCCATGTGAGTGTATGGTACCCAGATAGACAAGATCATACACTATCTACAAACAATTTGAAAAAAGAGGCAAGATATTGACAAAAAGTTTAATAAAACAAAGATATTTTTATTTTTGTCATAAATAATTTGTGTAAAATAATAACATGTGTATGTGTCCCCTCAATTACATTTCTAAAAAAAACTTTTTGAAAGTTAATTGAGTTGGTTTCTTGATAATTACATCTGAATGTTAATTTGTCGCAAGTGAAAGGACAGGAGCCTTAAATGCATGTGCATGTCTACCTTGCGCGACTGTCTGGCGTCATTGAAATAACATGAGGCATTTCACATTTAAATATAAAAAATAAAACAAGGAATCACTGTCTAAGTTGGGTATGCAAGGGGCATTAGTGACAGGAACGTGGGAAAAATTATGCATAACGGGCTTCGTCACGGTATTAAAACTTTTTCACGTTTCCAGCTATCGTTTTTCTTCATGCATAAACCAACAAACTAGACAGTGATTACTTGATTGTTATTATATTATTACAAAGTTGTTTATATTCTAGTGACCATCCAATAATGCTTCACCACAACGTACAGATTTTACAGGTATAAAATTTCACATAATATTTTGCATAATATGTTTTTGTATTCTTGGAACTTTTACAGTAGTACAAGTTTCATCATGCTTGAAGTTGTGTTTACTAAGAAAAAAAACCCCAGCGAACAGTATTCAAGTTCAAAAGTCCATTTAAACAAAACAAACAAGAAGCAGAGTAAACACGGATCTTTAAAACATGAGAGGTGAGATCAGGTGCCATGGAGGAGTGAGCATCCCCTGCTCACTAATCACATTCGCTGCATGCTCCTTGTGACGGTCGAAAAATGACAGAAAGATCCATCGACAATACAATTAGTATGAAAAACACTGGTCAGCATAAACAAATTTTTGTCCTCATATATTAAGAGGATGCTGAGTATATGATTGGAACAATCATTGTTAAAATAACATTGATTAAACATCGTAGTTGTATTTTGATGTCTAGTTAAGGCAACAACATAAAAATAAATTTTGTATTTTAGGAAAATAAATGAGATATTTCCTGCTCTATGTCAGCTGTTACTAACATGACTAATACAGATTAATTTCTTTTCAACTTGTGAATTATTGGGGACAGGAGGATACATTGTTCTAATATTGCCCCCCCCCCCCAAACGTTTAATACTGTGTTTTAATATCCATCTTATTCTTCTGATCCATTCTGATAGTGTCAAGGTCATCTTTTTCATATTTAGACCCCAAAAAATATTTCACGTTTTTCCACAGATAAGACACCTTTTTAAATAAAAGTGTTGCTTCAACAAGTTTAATATTGAATTGAACTGAATAAATTTTATTGACACATTCAAAAAGATTATATATTAGTTTAGAAACTTTTAGTCATCTCCTAATACAACATTTGTATATTGCCAAAATATATTGCATGTACAATAATTAACTTATATATACATGGTCTTCTTCATATAAAAAGTATTAATAGAAAGAAAATAAAATCTTCTTAAATGTACAAATATCGATTGTAAAAATAAAAGTAACATTGGTAAAACGACGATTTTCATTTTGAAAAAGTTAAAATAAACTTGACAAGTTCAGCATTTTATCCACATCACCCCATTGCATTAAGGCAGATTAATTTGCCCTTGTACCAAATTGATCTCATCTAATTGACGGAAGCACATATAATACTGTTAAAACTAATAATGGAACGAATTAGCAAAAATCTAAAATTCATCTTGGTACGAGTTAATTAGTTGGTATCCCTTAAATTAATGCTTGTAATCATATATAAACATGTGTTCTAACAAATAAAATCGTCCTTGTTTCATTTTCTGTATCTACAAAATTGTTCATTTTCATTGTTAAATAGCTAGAATGCAGTGTACATTACTTTTTTCATTATCAGAAGATGACATATTCATTAAATCCATCAAACAATTTGATTGCAATTACAAATGATTTTACTACTTATCATATTAACTTCCATATACGTTATTAGTAGTACTTGAAAACGTTTTCAAAGTTACATTTACAATACAAATTGCATCGCAATAACAATATTCCCTGCTTGATATATTAGATGGATTATCTGAATATTATATGATATGCCGGGTAGGCTTGGGTGTCATGAAATATTACATACATTTCAGGATTACTGAGATTATCGCAGGCAGAATCATAAGTCACATGACTTCCTGTGCCTGGTTTATGTGGAAGTACATTCATGCTACTATTACCCATACAATAATTACCAGTCGCAACTTGGACACAGAACATGTGCTTGAGTCCATTTGAGTCGAGTCTGCAATATCCAGAAGAGTAAGAAGCTCTCACAGCAAAGTAAACCCCAGCACCATATATCGTGCCTAGTATTTAGAAAATGCATTTACTAGTATTATAAAAACACATAAATTCAATTAAGTACTCGTATAAATTACTATCAATTTAGTTCATCTTAGGATAAAAATACGTAAAAGGGCATTTCATGTGTTTACTATAAATGTGTTATAATGTCAAACTATACACGTTCACATTAATTCATTGGCTACATGTAGACTGACGAACATATATCTTTTTGCTGTCAACAAACAACATCGTTTATACTTGTATATATAGTTTAAGTCAACTTTGTAAATTGCCGTTTAGTTCTTTCGAATCCCCAGTCATGACCCAGTCCAAGACAATAACTACCTACCATTCCTGCCACAATATCCCCTATTAAATCCATTGTTGATGATTTTATCTACAGTTTCTGGGTAGGTTCCATGCCATAACCATTTCTGAGGATTTTTTCCATTTTTTACTTCGATTTCTTTCCGTTTTGCAGCATATTGCTGATACAGATATGGGTTTTGCACCCTGCGTATCTATATAAACAGAAAATAATCTTTGATTGAAAGTTTTTTTTTATCTTTGAGAAAAAAAATGTCTTATATTTAAAACTTCAACAAACAACAATTAAATTAGGTTTCTTAACTTATCAATCATTAGGTACATGAACATCTTTTAATAAACTTTAAGATGTCAAAATTAGGTAAGTAAAATTCGATTATTTGATAACCCACTGAAAGGGTAATATCAATTTTATACACTGTATCCTTCAGTTTTTCATGCTTGCTCCAAAGTCTATTTCGATACGTAAAATAGAAAATCTGAAGACAATCTGAATTAAAATTTAAAGAGGTTTGAACATAGTTTCCAATGATTTTTTTGAGAATCTATTTTTATTAAAAGACCCGTTTTTTAACAATCTTGTTTAAAGAAAGCATTTGGTAAAATAAATGGTGGTTAAAATGAAGTTGTTAGCAAATATGATCTATCATTTGGGTCGTACTTTGGCTATCTTGTTTTTATAAAAAAAATTAGGCCTTTGCTTCTATACTGAATTTGATTTCGCTACTACAAAATATTCCATCTATCTAAACAATATACATGACCAACAGCGAGTGTAACCGCTTAACAGGGGATGATAACTACTTCGTGGCACCTGATCCCAGCTCTGGAATTTCTAGGAATGTGTTTGTGCACTCTTTACTGATTTATCTGTAGTCTCGTTTTAAGTCACCAATTCGAAAGTTCATTGATCGATACAACGACATTGTCAGCAAATACAATTTATCATCAAGTGCTGACTGATGTTTTTCATACATATTATTAGGTCATTGTTTACACACTGAATTATTGATGGATTTTTCGTTATTTCCCGATCATGACAAGGAGCACACGGCGGGTGTAACCGATCGGAAGGGGATGCTCACTCTTCCATGGAACCTGATCTCACCTTTGATGTTTTGGAGGTCTATGTTTGCTCCTATTTTGTATTGTTTAACGGACTTTTAAGCTTGAATATTGCTCATTATACTAAAAGATATATTTCATTACAGAATTTTTTAGATCAAGTTCTGTTCATTATCTTCACCTTTTTCATTTCTTTAGTTTCAAAAGATTAAAAAAAAGATGTCAGAGAATTATGGACCTTATTTTCGTATTTGTGCTTAGTAAAATTGATTTCAATGCACAATTCTCGAAGAATTTCAGTTGCATGATAAATCTCACATGCAGCTCTATGATCAATATAGTGGCATAAATTTACTAGTATATCATATATCAAAATCTAGTACTACTATCGCTACATTGATTGATTTTTAGTACTATACACATTTTCCTTTTTTTTTTTTAGTGTATGTACATTACTCATAAGATGCATAATCTTTATTTCAACATATGACTAATTCTTAATTTTTCTATATTTTTATCATGGTTTTTGATTTGTTTGTTTTTTAACAAATTCTCAAAGGGAGAGAATAGTAGGATAGGATTTTATGGTGTGATAACTTAAAGAATTTTTGTCCTACCTCTGAAATTGACACTTCTCTCATACTGGTGGCCTTGAACTTTGACATGACCTCTTGGTATTCATTGTCCCAATGGTTCAAGGTGATCTCAACCAGAGTCTGATTATTTTTCATAGTTGTCCATGAAGTTGGTAGCCCAACATGAAAACCTTAAAGTATTTTATAATAGATTTTTTTTATACAAATAATTGCTAATAATTTCCTCCTTATTATTAATTAATATTGCTTTTCGTAAGTGTCTATTCTAAACAGAAGACCTTATAGTGATCTTACTGTTTATTATCGGTATAACTAGGAGAGGTTTTCACACGATTTAAATAAAAGATATGAAATCGATCATTATGCACCATTCAGTGATATGAAGGTTTGAAATTACAGGTGCTTAGGCACAGATTTGAACTGAATATTTTTCATTTGTGATGTACCTATTAACTTGTTGGGTATTTGCCATAGTTTTTCTTGGTGATCAGTTCGAGAGTTGAAGATAAACAACTAAGTTTTTATTTTCCGAAGAATCTGTTTATTGTCTTTTGAACATTTTCACATGGTTGGGAATATACTTTCATGAATGATCTGACTCCTCTTTTGTGTTAACAAGTTTCTGATTACGAGGAGTTCCCTTGAAAAGTCTATAAGCAGATATATAAGGCCTGAACACATGACTGGCTTATGCCTAGGTCACATTTCCCGACCGGTGGCCGTAGACCGGTTGTAATCGGTGGTAATCCTTAGTGTAAGCGATGCACCAACATCGGTCCACATCGGCCTAGTAGTCCTTAAAGTATCAGTCACATTATCCAGCGATGGGCAATAACAGCAATTTTTGATAAAGTATCAGTCACATTATCCAGCGATGGGGTATACGATGAGAAGCCGATGCGTTTTTGATGAAAATGGCGTGGTTGCCGGCCGGGCACCACTAGAGATCGGACGGTGACTGAGGCCATTTTGCGAATTGGAGGGGTAATCGGTAGGAAATAATTCGTAGTTAAAATTCAGCGATGTCTCCAACTATGCCTCACGTCGCTCCTCATCGGCAACCCATCATTAAAATATCTTTCAAGGATCGGTCGATGTATGGCCGAGCATCGTCCAATATCCGTTGAATCTGAGATCATCGGGGGGTTGAGTGGTGTTCAACAGATAACGGCCGATCATCGGTCGATGTTCGACCAAACATTGGCTCGTAGTCGAACGATATACGAACGATGTTCACCAATGCATGAGCGATGTTATATACATCGGCCGATTATCCTGGAACATCGTTTTATGATTAGCAAAGCGTCACTAGATCTTTGTAATTCCGGCCGGCAACCATGCCACTTTTATCTTGAAACGCATTGGTTGCCGATCGTATACCCATCGCTGGATAATGTGACTGATACTTTAAAGACTACTAGGCCGATGTGGACCGATGTTGGGGCATCGTTAACACCACGGATTACTACCGATTACCACCGGTCTACGGCTACCGGCCGGTAAATGTGACCTAGGCATAAACATGGCGTGGTTGCCGGCCGGACTTTACAAGGGCCCAGCGATGCATTGCTAATCATAAAACGATGTTCCGGGATAATCGTCCGATGAATATTACATCGCTTATACATTGGTGAACATCGTTCGCACGTCGGTCGACTACGGGCCAATGTTTGGTCGAACATCGACCGATGATCGGTCGTTATTTGTTGCCCACCACTCAACCTAACGATGACCTCAGATTCAACAGATATCGGACGATGCTCGGTCATACATCGGCCGATCCTTGAAAGATGTGTTAATAATAGGTTGACTATGAGGAGCGATGTGAGGCATCGTTGGAGACATCGCTGAATTTTAACTACGAATTATTTTCTACCGATGACCTACCGATGACCCCAACGATTCGCAAAATTGCCTCAGTCACCGTCCGATCACTAGTGGTGTCCGGCCGGCAACCATGCTATTTTCATAAAAAAACACATCGGTTTCTCATCGTTTACCCCATCGTTGAATAATGTGACTTATACTTTAGTGGAATCGGAGCTATGAGAAAAGAGACACAAGTACTTTTGAAATAAATATTGGGAGCCGTGTGGCCTTTGCAGAGCTCCTGATCCAGTTTACAGTTAGAATATCGCATTTCCATGCCAGGTAAATGGGAAGAGAGAACAAAACTGTCTTTCCCTGATTTTCTCTTGTCGCGAATAAATCTGTCTGGAGGAATGATAATCTGAAAGAATCTGTTGAACTACTTACTAAGACTCTATTCTATCATATTTGAGAAATTGCTGTCTTATGGACAACTCGTCCGGTATCACATTCCCTTCCCAAAGAATGTGTTACCTGAATTTATGCTCTAATAATGCGACTACAATGCAAAATCCTTCATGTCAAGGGTAGCACAGGTTTGAGAAATGTTTTGAGGTAGAACACAAGCATTGCTGAGTTGTCTATTCTATAAAGAATCTGTTTATGTTTGCCATTGTCTTTGAAGTGAAGAATAAGTTTCTCCACTGCACCAGAGACGTATTATACGTCTCTGACAGCACCAAGTTCCAGCAAAATTGTCTGATATTTATTTCATCACTGACAATGGGTCGAACGCATTGCTTTGTGTACATTATGCTTCCCAACTGAAGCATCTGTCCACAATGGTCGATCTGCCCTGAAACTCAAAATAGATGTCTCTGCAAAATTACGTTATTTAGGCTGATAAAATTCCACAAATTATTATTTTTGACACTGGCTCTTAAGTTTCTTCAGCATAAAGCAAAATAAAAAAATACCAGTACTCAAATGTGGTATAAAAAAATTCTGTGCCAAGTTGACACAATTTGATTTCCCAGCGCAGAATATTTGCGATTCTGAAAATACTACGATTCCTGTAGAGGAAAAATATATATTACAACGAGTGTGCATGCCCCACAAAGTGTAAAAGAAACTAATGCGTAGGTCACATCTCCCGTCCGGTGGCCGTAGACCGGTGGTAATCGCTGGTAATCCGTGGTGTGAGCGATGCTCAAACATCGGTCCACATCGGTCTAGTAGTCCTTAAACATGTTTAGTCAGTATCAGTCATATTATCAAGCGATGGGGTATACGATGGACAGCCAATGCGTTTTTGATAAAAATGGGGTCGTTGCCGGCCAGACTTTACAAAGGCCCAGTGATGCATTACTTGTCATAAAACGAAGTTCCAGTCTAATCGACCGATGCATATTACATCAATCAACCCTCCGATGATCTTTGATTCAACGGACACTTGACGATGCTCGGCCATACATCGGCCATTCCTTGAAAGATGTTAATGATGGGTTTCCGATGAGGAGCGATATGGGGCATCGGTTGAAACATCGCTGATTGTAAACTACGAATTATTTTCTACCGATGACCCATCGATTCGCAGAATGGCCTCAGTCACCGAGCAATTACTAGTGGTGTCCGGTGTCACCGCCCGGTGTAAAGACGAATAATGACCCCCATCGAAAAATGACCGGGGGTCATTTTTCGACAGCAAAAAATGACCCCCGGTCAAAATTCAACGGCGAAAAATTACCCCCGGTTATTATTCGACGTAGAAAAATGACCCTTTTCCCCGTAGAAAAAGTGGCATCACCCTACAGATTTGCAGAACCCTCATGAAGAAAAATGACCCCCGTAGAAAAATGACTCCCTGTGGATTAAAGCTGAAATATTTAGGGAGCCAAAAAAAAAATAGATAAAGAAGCATATTGGCCAAAATGCTCACCTGAGCTTATTTGGAATAAATTGATGATATATTGATCTTATAACATACGATTACAGCTATATTTTAAGGTCAATGCAGTGATTCAGAATCTAAAGGAGTAAAGATTTATCGAGCCTAAAGGGTTAGGTAAACATTGCTTTTCGATGGTGGAAATCATCGTACTGCATGACAGAAAAAATCAGTATCATATATTAGTATATCCTCCGCTTGAAAAGCGGGAAGGTATATAGTGATCGGGATGTCCGTCCGTCCATCTGTTACGCTTTGGGGTATCCATCTGTTATCCGCAACTCCTCTTATATATAAAAAGTTGTGTTTGTGAAACAGCTATGCCCCTGTATGGCAACATAGCGATGATTAAACTTTTCTTAAATGCAATTTAAATATAATGGTACCCAAAGTAGTGTCTTCTCACATGAAATACAAATACAAAATAGGAAAGCCCTAGAACCACTTGTTCAAAATTAATGGCTAAGGATAAGACTTCGAAAGTTAGGTCAAACTCAAAGGTCAAAGAGTCAAAGTTGATGGTTTCTTAAGAAAGGTTTAATGAAACAAGGATTACATCTGTGAAGTTTGAGAGTACGTATGTCTAGTATTTACCGTTTAAAAGTTATAGCCAAAGTAAATTAAAAATTTGGCATTTTTTTGTAAAATGGGACAAACTCCAACGTAAAGGTCAAAAGGTCAAATTTGGTGGTACCCAAAGTAAGGTCCTGTCACAAGGAATATACATATATTGAATATGAAAGGCATAGCTACAATAAATGAAAAGTTATGATCAAGGTTCAAGTTTTTGCGGAGAAACAGACCGCCAGATAGACAGACAGGCAAACAGACGGACACGATAATACTATATACCCCCGAATCTTCGTTTACAAGGACATAAAAAGAAATGGTCTTTATTTAACACGTCCAGTCCAAAGACTATTTTACCTACGTAGCTATAATTAGCTACCTAGGTATTTAAAGCTACCCAAAGTTGCTATTTTTACCTACTTTAAATATTTTCTGCATTTTGCGCCCAAAAGATCAAACGGCGCAACATGGTGAATATCATATTGTTTGATACGGTCACACTAATGATGAATACGACAAAATTTTGGCCAAAAAAAATGATTACTTCCTGAATTGGCAATTTTACATTAGTTTCTATGCAAAATTGATAATATGATTAATAATATAATATGATTAATAAGTAATCATTTTTGGGCCAATTTTTTATCATATTCATCATCAGTGAGACTGTATCGAGCATTTTTGTGCTCATCGTGTTGCGCCGTTCCTGCATTTGGCTACAAAATGCAAGTAAAGCAGAAAGTAGGTAAAAATAGCTACTTTGGGTAGCTTTAAATACCTAGGTAGCTATTAAAAGCTACGTAGGTAGAAAAAGTCTTTGGACTGGACCTGTTTAACTTTCAGATAACAGATTATTAATTTGTTAAAACAGGTTATTTTTGTTAAAACAAATTATTAATTTGTTATAACAAATTAGTAATTTGATAAAACAAATTACTATTTTTGACAAAATTTGAAATGTATACAATCTACGAAACCCAGATCAAATAAAAAATCTTCGTATATGTCGGATTTATGAAAATAATTTGCAACTGTCAAAGTTATTGGCAAATAATAAGGCTTTAGTGGGACAATTGAGAGCTTTTTCAGCAGGCTTTTTTTAAGGAATTTAATATCAAATTTCACCGAGATACCCACTCAGGAATACTGTGGGTTTCATTTTTTCGTTCGTTTTCCGGGGAAGGTTATTATGGAATGTATTTTTTTTTCTTGATAATTTATCCGCAAATTCATTTTGGCCCAATGGTACCTCTGTTGCTCACAGCTTTATAGGAAACCATGGAGGTTCACCACGGGAGCAGATCCAGGATTTTGCATAGATAAAATTGGGTTAGGTTTAAAGATTTTATTCTTTACACATGAATTGGGTTGAACAGTAGACATAAATGCCTGTCGAAAAGTAGTATTCAAAGTAGATCATGTCACAGGTAAAGAAAGAATTCAGAGAGAAAGAGAGAAGGGTTAAAATGAACAAAAACAAAACACAAACTAGAGATACTGTGAGCAATGAGCTCTCTAAATGATACCCCAACCCCCGCCTCCCATATGCTTATAATGACAAAGTCCATGTTTTGCTGTGGCCGGGAAACCCAAAATATGTGTCGGATCAAAACGTAAAATAGGAGGTGCACGATGACAATATGTTATGTTATATAGATTCTGTGAAAGTTTCATTAAATTACACTTCGTGGTTTAAGAGGAGTTGCGGATAAGAGATGGGTACTCCAAAGCGTAACAGACGGGCGGACGGACATACCGATTAGTATACCCTCCCACTTTTCAAGCGGGGGGATATAATAAAACAATTTATATTGTAACATTCTGTTGCATGGCTCAAATAAGATAATTTTTTTCCTAGCATACGAATTGGGTGATATGACTTTGAAGAGTCGGAAGGGGGGGGGCACGTATGGATAAACTTTCATTAAAGCTTCTAAGAACAAGCTATAAGAAATAGAATCTAGCTAGGAATTGATGCAATTCATCATGACATTGATGTTTGAAATGAAAACTCTGAGCTGCTAGAAGAAACGTATAGGTCAAAAGCTTTGCAGACTGTGTGCTTATTGTTTCACAAATTCAATATTTCAAAGATTTCTAAGCTGATATAGATTCCATAGTTCTGTGTACATGTCAAATATCCAAAATAGTTATTTGTTATAACAAATTATTAATTTGATATAACAGATTATTTATTTGTTAAAACAAATTAATAATTTTTTATAACAGATTACTAATTTGTAAAAGGGTCGAGTAAAACAAGAATTAAGAAATGTTATGAATACAGTGTGCTAAATCAAAAGGTTATGTCTTCAATGTATAGTTTTTGCATTTGAATGTGTATTTTACACTAGCACATAGCTTTACAGAGCATATTTTTAGGTGTTATACCCACCCCATTCCCTTAACAGATTTAGGAGGAAGTCGATTATCAACAAAAGCAACAAAAAACTAACCTACCTTTATTTTTCTATAAGGAGGGACTAAAAATAAGCTTAAAATAATCTACTATTCTACTAATTTTCAACTGTTACTTTGCCACAATACTTTCAAGTATACCCCAACCAACAATCGCAATTTATCGGGCCTTTCCGACTAGCGGAAAAACGACCTCGAATGTATATGGTAGACACCATGACAACCCTCCCTTTTAACGATCTTTGAAATAAATGCACGGAGACCTTTTATCTGTGGAATATGGAATTTAACTTCATTCAATGTAATAATATTACCTAAAATATACTATAGAAGGGACTTCTAACCCAGTCTATCCTATATTTGAATAAACAGGAAATGTATAAATTTTTAACATCCGGTGATGTTAATACATTCGAGGTTGTTTTCCGACCTCTGACGGAAAGACCCGAGATGATGCGATCGCCCTCACCAACATACAAAGTATGCTTTATTCATGGCAAAGTAAATTATAATATGATAGAATTTGTGTGAAGGCTTAACTTCATTTCAATTTTTTATCTAGAGCCTCTTTCAGTATTATTGAAAAGTATAGAGTTTTATTTATATTTGTGCTTTTCATTTATTTTTTTGTTTTGATTTAATGTAACAGGGGGGGGGGGTGTAAATATTTCCTCCTCTTTCATTGTCAAATAGGATTTGCCAAACTTATTCAAGATAAAAGTTGAAATGAAAGAAAAATTTATTTTTTCTATTAAAGATTATTGGAACCTGATTGTTGCATGGTTTGATTTCTAAAAACAAGTCGAATATCATTCTTTAAGCAAACACCATAAGAAGGAATATTAAAAAGAAATTTTATTTACTTGACAATTAAAGAATCTCTTTTCACTTTAAAGGGGGTCATTTTTCAATGGGGGTCAATTTTTCATAGGACTAACATATAAAATAATGACACCTAGGACACTTTTTCTACAAAAAAAAAAAAGACTTTTTCTACGGGAAGGGGATCATTTTTGTCCTTGAAAAATTACCCTCGGTTATTATTCGATGGGGTCATTATTCGTCTTTACACTGGCAACCACACCATTTTCATCAACAAATAAATCGGTTTCTCATCGTATACATCATCGCTGGATAATGTGACTGATACTTAAGGGAGTCGCAAGTGTTTTGTATTATGAGTATGACCACAGAGTATGTATTACATGGGTGGTTGAAAATTTAATGCCCTGTTCACACGGAGAATTTAATTCGCAGTAAATTAATGCGAAGTAAACTAATGCGAATCAAACTAATGCGAATTAAATTGCGTTCACACGACAGCTAATGCGAAGTAAACTAATGCGAATTAAAATTTTACTTCTGCAGCCTGGCGTCAGCACGGCTATTATGACGTCATTTGCAAATCACGTCACCTTATGCTGAAGCAGATCCATTTGGCATAATGACAAAGTGTCTGTATACACATTTTAATGATTTACAAACTTTTCCTTAGTTTTTCACTCAAAAATAGCACAAGTACCTATAGCTGACCACCGACAATTGGCATTTGACTAAATTTTGCCATTACGCATGTGTCAGAATTTAATTCGAATTAGCTTCGCTTAGCGTTCACACGGAGCTAATGCGAAGTAATTTAATGCTCAGTAAACTAATTCGCATTAAATTCTCCGTGTGAACGCTAAGCGAAGCTAATTCGCAGTAAACTTACGTTTAATTCGAATTAAACTCTCCGTGTGAACAGGGCATAAGTAAAAATGTAGGCAGTTTGTGGAAAATGCAAATACAAAGTGACGAAGATAAGTGTAGATATTAATATACACATGCCTACTGATGTGAACCTGTGGCAAGAAAACAATCATTTCTTTTGTAACTAGTAACGGAAAAAATGATTTAAAATTTTTTCTGTGCCATATTTTAAAATCGGCTGTAGCCGTAATTATAACTACCATGACATGTAAAATAATTTGCATTTTCTACGTTTTTCATGTATTTATCATGACGGCATTAATGTCACAAAGTAAATTTTACAAAAAAATATTTAAAATGTAACAGAATTTAATTCTATAAAAAGAATTATTTTGAATGCTTGTTTTTTAGCAGATGTCGAAATTATTTATCAATCAATTAATGTTTAGGCAGTAAAAAGGAATTTTTCACTCGATATTTATTTTAGGAATTAGTGTCAATCCTCTGCCTCAAAGAGTGTCCGACTCGTTTGTGTGATGATTGCGTAAATGTGTTAATTGAAGTTTGAGTGAATGCCGTTTGAATGACCTGGAACGATAAACAATTCATTCATTTCCTTTTGCCCATATTCTTGGCCTCTGTTAACCATATTTCCATGGATAACATTCTTATCTGGGTGACATGGGCATTACTATTGTTTTATCAGATTTCATATCAACTAAATAAAAATTGTGTTTATTTTTTATAATATTATTCATAAAGTTACCAATGATTGACATTGTATTATCCAGTATATTTAAAATATTCATTGACAAATACATTAAACAGAACAAATGAAGTTTTGCGCTGTTTGACATAAAACATATTTAACTAATTAAGGTTCTTCCTTCCTGTTTTCTATTTAAAAAAAAAATGAAATTTCTTTCAATACCTCTCGTTTTTCCTGTAAAATCATCCTTGGTTTGTTGTAAAGGTACATAAGAAAAGCTCTGTAGTGTAAATTCAAATACTGGAAGTATTTGGCTCTGGAAAACAATAACCCTCACTGTTTGTAGGTTCAGCGGATGATATTTACTGATGGCTCTAAACATGCACAGGGAAATCTCTGCAGGGTCAATATCTACAACCCCTAAAATAAAACAAGAGGCCCAAGGGCCTAACGGTCACTTGAGTATAATGTATAACGATCAAAGAAGAAAACAACATAAGCTAATAAATGAAGCTATGATGCAGAAATATCCTAGAAACCTGGAATCTGGACGAAGATGATCGAAAGAAACTGAGCGTACATTACGAAAAATTTGAGGAATATGTCAAGCCGAGAACGAACATCATCTATAATAGGTACCGATTTCAAACAAGAGTTCAGGGAGAAACAAAGACATTCGATCAATTTGTTACTGAGTTAGAATTGCTAGTCAAAGATTGCACTTATGACGAAAGTGAAGAAATGGTTAGAGACAGAATAGTAATAGGTGTGAGAACACACAAGATACGAGAGAAACTTATAAATGTAGGATTGGATCCAACCTTGCAAAAAGCACTCGACATAGCACGTCTGCACGAACAATCAACGACTCAAGCGAGACAGATCTCGGGGAAAGATGCATCTGTACATGTCATTCACAAGAAGTCGCATTCCGAGCAACCAAAATCTGCGCAACAATTTGCTAATCCACACAAGAAAGCTCACACAAACAGAAATCAATATTCAAAGAAAAAATGGCATCATAACAAACTTCCACAGACAAATGAATGTTCGCGATGCGAATATGAACACAATACCTCAGTTTGTCCTGCCAAGGGAAACAATTGCCATAAATGTGATCATTCGGATCACTTTGCGAGAAAATGCCATTCGAAAGCCAAACGTGTGAATGCCGTTGACACGTGTTCTTCCGATAGTGAAAACGACTCGTGTGAAGAGTTATATCTTGGTTATATAACAGCCGACGTTAACATGGTGGATACAGAATGGAGTGAAGCCATTGAAATC